CCCTAGTAATTTGCGAGGTTTGATATCTAAGCATTACTGAAATTCCTTTGAAAAATTTTAGTCTGTTGTTTAATGACAAATTAAGATAACACCCTTCCACGGCTTTGTTCTAACAACTTCTGTTTCCATTTGAATTGCTGAGGTTATACACCTAAAAATGTCAATTCCAAGGGGGACAGTTTTAAACAAGAGTTCTAAACTGTAATAATGCTTTTGGTCTGGATGTGGGATCAGCGCGGAAGGCCATTCAGCATGACAGAGGAGAGCTTGGCAGCATGAGGACTTCAACTGTTTCTGCCCATAACAAGTGGTTTAATACTCTTCTGCTCAATGTCAGATGCTGAATGTCAGCTCCAGCAGAGAAAGCTGTGGTCCCAGTTTAGCACAGTGATATCCATCTGTCTTCATACTTACCCAACTACCTTGAACTGTGAACTCAAGTGGCTACAGCCATGTTTGCAGACTGTTTTAAAGACCTCTTTTTCAAAGGTTTGTTTTACATCCATCTTGAATGATGAAAAAGTATCAGTGACTCATCCTCTAAGGCTTTAAGTTGAGTTTATGTCTCTATAATTGAGTTTTTCTATGTGTTTTAGCAAAAAACACTCATGTGTACTACATAACGAAGTTACTTTAAAAAATATGTTCCCTATAATTGCATAACAAGTGTAGAATTATGTATTTTGAGCAGATCATACATAACTAAGCAGCAATTTCTTCCCTTCTCTTCCATAGAGATGAACTCTGCCATTACTCTTTTTAAAAGGGTGTTTGCACATCTTTCTGTGACCTGCTAACAATTTCTAAATATTATTCTCCAATTTGACAGTAGAACAAGGTGTTACATTATTATATGATAAGTATTAATTATTTTTTTCTGATGTCAGGGATTCATTGAATGCTAAAAATGTTACACTGAGTTTGTGTGTTTTTCTTCATTTGGAAATATGTAAAGCAAAGAGTTCCCAGAAATTGGCAGTTGGTTTTGCTTCTACAGGAAGAGTAAAAAAGAAGATCCATGAGATTATTTGGCTCTATAAAGAGCATAGTGATTGTTTGGGGAGTGTAGCACAAAAATGTTAATGGACCAACTAAAATATCAGCACTACAGAATTTGTATCACTAGTTGTTGTTTTTTTAATTGTGTTGTTTGGGGATTTTTTTCAATATATTACCACCATCTTTTTAACTGTATAATAAAATTTCAGGTGTGGCTTGGATGTTCAGTATGATTACTCAAACACTAAACTAGATACAGGATCACCTTGTACTTGGAAACTCAATTCCCTGTCCTGTCAGTTCATTCTATCATTTCTGCACAGAGAAAACATTTTTTTTTCCAATGGGTTGAAAATTCTGACATTCTTTCTGAAAAACAAGGTATGCATTCTAGCAGAAACAGTAAAAACACATTTCTTTCTAGTGACTGTTACAATATTACACTTTAAAGCATTCCTTAAATCTTATTTGTTCTTTATTATAGTATTAGTCTAAGAAATTGTCTGTATTTAACATTTTTACATTGTCAGAATTTAAGGCATCACCTTATTATTGAAGTCAATAGGAGATCTATATCTGGTTTGAGTGGGCATAGAATCAAGTCTTTATTGCAAAAATCTTTATACTAACATTTATATTATAGCAATTTGGAAGAGTGATAAGGGAGCACAGTTTTCTTTTGAAGCAGTTTAATGGTTATTGTGTTACTCAGAAAGTTAATGCTAATAGGTAAATGGACAACAGTATATAAAGGAAGAAGGAAAGGTTTGGTCAGATAATTGGTTTTTTGAACAGTGTTATGGAAATTATGTTTGGTAGAGCAGGGACATAATTTAAATTGAACGAATACATAAACAGCATACACCTCAGGAGTGAAAAATGTAGAACATCATAAAAAACAAATTGTTAATTTATGAGCTATCTTTTACACATGCCATTTTGATTAGAAATGTTCAGTTGTATATCCATATTTTTGTATATACAGAAAAGGTCATTAGAAGCTGCTCCATCCAATTAACAAAATGCAAATGGATTTTCCATTCTAATTAAAAACAAACAAAAAAAGTGCTAATGAATCCTGTCAAAATTCTGTCTTCCACTTAAGTGGAAAGTAAATCTAATTTAAAGTTACTGTAAATTCTCAGCAGTTAATATAATGCTAAATAGTTTTTTAAACATTTCGGGTAGATGTAAACATAGTTCTTCTGGAGAAAAAAAATACTCAGATGCAATCTGAAAATAATAAACCAAGGGTAGAAATAACAGTAAGGGAAAATAAACACAAAATGCTTATTTTATATATTTTTTTTATTTTATTTTTATTTTTTTTTTCTCACTCCTCCTTTTTTTTAAAGAGATATATCCCTTTCCTAAGTGGAGATATCAAGAGTTACAGTTGAGGGACAATAACCAACAATCCATCTTCACATGAATTTTTCCTGTAGTAACTCCTAATTAACAAGTAATATTGAGCTGCATATCCAGTTCCTATTTGGGCTTCAGGCCATCATAGAAGTGATATGGTTTTTATGGGATATTACATTTAAGCAGTGAAAAGGCCTTACTGTCTCCTTAGTGTACTCCTTTCTGTCATGACTACTAAATTGTTCAGAGTTTAGCCAGGTGGGACACTAGTTGATAATTATGGGTGGGCACAATAATCAGCAAGTTTTGGGAAAGAAGTGGAATAAATGGGAGAGAGCCATAGGCAGAGAAGGAAGGTGAGCTGGAACTTGAATGGCATTTTATGGTGAGCTTAGGTGAGAAGAGTCTGTTCTCCAAGTTACATTTCTTTGCTCTGAATTTACCTGATAGAGAATAGTCACCTTTAGGGCTGACAGGGGCAAAAAAAATATTTTTCTTCTTTTATTTTGCAATAAGTACCTTAAGTAGAGTCTGTTCATACTTGCCTTCCAGGAGCCAGCCTGAATCAGATAAGCACCCCAGTAACAGCAGAAAGTCAGGGAGAGCCTTTGACTCTGAAGGAGCAGGTGGCAAAACCACCTGCAGCGAAGGGAGTTGGTATCCTGTAAAACTTAGATATGGCTGAGGCCTTAAATATTGATGGCTCCTCTTAAAAAAGAGGCTAAAGCAACATTTTTTTAAGAAACAACTCTAGAAATCTTTACTAATTTTATTAGTATGAGAGAGCTATGATATCTGCTGATTTATTTTATTTTCTAGTGTCTTCAGTTATGAGGATCCACTGCTTTCAGGTGTTTAAGTGCTACACAGAATTGTTTCCATTTAGCTATTGGCAATTTCAAATAAAGAATAGCAAGGCTTCAGTGAAAAATATGGAGCACTGAAACAGATGTTTGAAGTGAAGAACTGTTCATTGTGTTGTCTCTTACCTTTCTGCACACTCTCCATTTTATTTTCCTGTGTTCCTTTCAGAGAGTGAATCTGTCCTTCGATTTTCCATTCTATGGTCATTTTCTACGTGAAATTACTGTGGCAACTGGAGGTAAGTGGCTTTCTAACCATTTACTTGGAGTAATATTGGAAGAGTTTCTTTCAGCTATTTAAAATACATTTTTCCCCTGTATATGTCAAGAGATGAAGCATTTATTTAGGAAATTTTGCTTTCCACAAAAAGAAAATTACAAAATACTGATATAATGAAATATCTCCAACAGCTCAAGTTGAACTGTTCTAAAAACCTCTCAGTGTAAGACTTTATAGCATTACTCATTTTCTACTTAGATATTTTCCCCAGAATCTATTGTGTGTGCGTGTGTCTGGAGCAGTTGCACTTGTGGAGGTAGTGCTTGATCAAGGAGGGCAACTTAAGTTTTGCCTATGTGAGGACAGAGGATTTACTATCCAAAGACAAGAGGGCTGCTAGAACTATGTAATTTGTTACCCGTAAGGCAAGCCCCTTGTTGTGTGTTGTCTTGGTACAGTGTCTGCAACAGTACCATGGTGTTGTACTTCTGTGGGGTAAGATGGGACCATGGCTGGTCCTGTAGCTCTGGATGCTACTACTGTCACTAATATGCTGCTGTCATCTGTCTTCCCTATCTGTCCCAAGGAGAGCTGTGCAGTAATAATTTATGAGAAAAACATTCTTTCTTTTGGTGTAGAGCATCTGGGGAATTTGGGTGTTTTTCTGTGGGTTTCGGTTTTTTGTGGGTTGTTTTTTTTTTTTCCTTTTTTAAAACCCCAACATGTAAGCGTATAAGAACAGCTGCAGCTCTGCAGCACACTTTTCTCTTGCTATTAACGGAACACTGAATGATAATTCTGCTTTTGTTTTTGCTTCACTTCTACTAAATATTACTGTGATAGATCTATGGATTGTTGTCAAGCTAAACAGGACTTTAACAGCAATCCTTTTAATAGATGCCACTGACATTAGCACAGAGGTACTTCTGTCTTTCATGTAACACTTCCATGATTTTGAACCTCAAAAGTCAGAATGAGAAAGTAAGATCTAATCAGAAATTGTTTTAGCCAAGTAGCTGTAAGTCATCCTGTCAATCCAGGACATGATACAACTTTTCTACCACATTAAGACTCTGAAATGCATTAGCAGGAGAAGAAAGATCTATTTCTGTCCTAACTCTATGATAAATGTTTTGGCTATATTTTCAAATTTTGTTAGTAGAAGTCATTAGTGGTGTGGTGAGGCTTACAGCCTAGCAACAAAATAAAGACAAGTTCCAAGTCCTTTTTATAATGTATGGTCTACCATTTCTTAGTAACCAAGATTTCACAATGACATTATAATTATTAGAGGTTTGGAACACCTCCAGATGTTATTCTGGGATCAAAAGAATGACAGAGTTAATGTGTACAGGAGTCCATGTGACAGAAATCCACTTCCTGGAGAACAGGGTATGATTAATTATGCTAATGATAACACTGCAAACTGTTTTTACCTCCAAATCATAAATGAAATAACCTTGTTAAAAGGAAATTTGAGGACAATGGCACATTAAATCCCCGTGATAATAAAAACATCTACTCAGATGGTTTCTGCCATTCTTCATGGAGGATGCATTGTGGTGTATTAGGGTTTCCAAGTATCTTACTATGACTTAGAAATTGTTACAGAGTTAAACTCAACTAATTTGTCTCTTTAACTGATATTTATTTCCTCTTCAGAATGGTTTTGATGAGGTGATTGTTTAACTAAGGAAAGGAAGAACGAGGAGTAGAAACAACTAGCTTGAGGGCTTTATTCAGTGTTGTCCTTAGCTTGTATTTGACAAGGCTATTTGATTCATAACTATGAGGTAAGAAAGCTTATGGTATTATTAATGTAATTACTAATTTGTAGTTTTTTGGGATACAGGCACCTATCTCTTCACGTTCTTATAGGGAACATTTTTAAAGCAACCCCTTAGAGCTCTAGGTAACACAAGAAGAAGCTGAGTTGTGTTTTCTGTGAAGCTTTCTAAGTTTGTTCTCTACAGGCCACGATTGCAATTAGTTCTGTGATAAATCACTTGTGAGTTAGTGAGTCATGTTGCAAATGTCAGGGAGCTAAGCTCATGAAGTCTCTTTGTTGCCAGTCACTGATAGCCCCTAATAGAGTTTGGTAGCTGTGGAGGAGGGAAAGCCCCCTCTGCTGCAGCTCTCCAGGCAGTGACACAGGCCTTCTTATGGGGAGTCTTTGAAGCCCTATGGCCCCATATCACTCTCAACATGCAGCACTGCTTCATGCTTGGTTGTATTCATTTTCTACGCTCGTGGTATTAAGTCCCTCTTGTTTATTTCCTGTGGCTTAATTTTGTTTTATTTATCAGTCTATGTTTTCTAATGCAGCTTTGTATTGGATACTGGAAATTATTTAGGAATTATTTTCCTTGCATGGCATCCCTCATTGATGTCACATTTCTCTCTGGTATTGCTATGCATGAAGCAGCATTACAATAGTAGGTAGGTAGCAAACCCACATTATTATGGATCTTCATTAAACCTTATGTTTGTTGCCTGGGATTGCTAGAGGCTTTAATTTTTGCTTTGGGGATTTCTCCTGATGTTTTGGATGGTCAGAGTTAATAAGGGATCTTAAAGCAGTTTCAGTCTCTGTTCTTTCCGTGGAATGACTGAATTTTACTGTACATAGACTGTAGATCAAGAACGTGTAATAGAACCAAACTGCTTAGGAACATAAAACATATTTGATTTTCACATTTAACTGTACATATTTGAAAGCAGCAAAGCAAATAGCAAATAAAAGAATAATTTTGTATTATCGTGTACTGGGAAAACAGTATTTTGGTAATGGAACCTACATGCATTTTACTGGAAGACTTTTTGAACATAACTTTTTTCTCTGTTTCAATAGCAGTCATATTTTTATAGGTAGTGTAATATAAAAATATTGTAAGGTTAATTCAGAGGCAGATCTTGAACTGATGTAAGTTTACACTATTTTGGTGGTGTAGTTTGTGCTGTTGCATTTTCAACTAGGACAAGTTCAGCAACATTCTTGCTGTAACATCTTTGATGATAAGCAGTCTTCTTGAACTCACCTCTTGGCTGTCAAGATTGAGGTATTTTTTAAAAAAAAAGGTGCAATAGGATTTGAAGCAGAATAAGGATGGGACTTTAAAAAGCAAGCCATGTGTTGTCTCATTACTGTAGCTTACTGCACAGAGGTCTGGAAACTAGACAGTATGTCAGACATTTCCTCAGGAGGCAATGGACCCAAAGCACTGGCACACTTCAGCAGAGCATTAGGCTATTCCAGCCTGAAGCATTTGAGGTAATGACTCCCAGTCATCCTGTAGTGAGTTCCTGGCATTTATCTGAGAATGGGGATTCAGTCACATATAGATCTGATGAAGCTGAAGCAAGCAGTTGAATTTGTAAAGACTGTATTAAAATCTATTGAGATAATATTTGATAAATCATGCCTCAGTAGAGGAACATTCCTGGGCAGCAGGAATTATCTGAGATAATTCTAAAGGTGGAAATGCTGCCTGGACATTTCTGTCACTACTAAAAGTGGAAGGAGTACCAAAGAGAAATTAAAGGGCACCCCGATATTAAATCTCACTGTCATTGAGTTGAAGTTGGTAATTTTCTAAAACTGAAAAGAAGAACTCTGCATGATTATGCTACTTCCTAAGGTAAGACTGTATGCTTTAAAATATTTGTACTTATTAAAGAGAAGGATCTTTGTGCACGTAATATACATGCAGCTTTTTGTCCAAATTGCAATTGTTTTACCCACTGTTGACCCAAGATAAAATCACAGGCATTGAAGGCACTGAAATAAATTTTTCACTGAAAACTGATGTCATTAGAATCTGTGCTGATGAGCAGCTGTGAGGTGCCTGAGCATGGCTTCTAAACACTGACCAGACAGGACAATTGATTCCAAGTAATCTTTTATTCTCACAAGAAGGAAATGTAGTTATTCCAGTATCAAACTGTTCATGAGTGTGCATATAACTTGTGGGAAAGCTATGTCCAACCATGACAAACAGAGACAAAAAATCTTGAGTTAGCTAACTAGCTGCTTAGCTGCTTAAAACTTTTAGTTTTATACAGAGATAACACATTTTGCATTTCCTTTTGGACATTGAGTGTGTGTGCAGGATTATGGTATTCATTGTTTAACTGTGTAATTGTACATTCTTCAATACATCAGGAGGGATGTTATGAAAAGTAAGTACCAAAGTGCAGAGATTTCAAACATAATTTGTGTCAAATTTTGCATTACTTTCAGGGAAGCATGCTACTGAAAAATTATCTGGAGATTTCCCATCCTATGGGGATGATTATGATCACATGACTTTTCCCCACATCTCCTAAATGTACTTTCTTAAACTTTGAAAACCAGTGGATAGGTGGAGTGAAGTTTTTTCCCTGGCTTACTGGAGTATCAGCATATTGAGCAGAGCATCTAGTTGGAACCTGCCAGAAATCTGTGAGGCTTTTCTAGTTTTTCCTGCTGCTTTGAACGTTTCATCACAGGAGCCAACAGCAGATGTGTTCATTGCTTAATGAAGAGCTCTTTGATAACAAAAATCACCCTGTGGGCAACATCTGTTAAATGGCAAAGGTGATATAAAGCAGAGTGAAACAGTGTTTCTAACCTGAACCAGTGACTCAGACTGCCCCATGTCTGTTGCAGGGGATTATTCTTGTCATCACCAGTAGGCAGCTCACTCTGAAAGGCTTGTAGTGGTCTGTCTGGTGACTGGCAAATATCAGCTCACACAAATGCCTTCTATTTACCTCATCTCTTTCTGATGTCTGTTTCTGATGTCTTATATTGCCATGAAGCTGTTAAAAAAATTTCTCCTTATAAAGCTTCTTTTGTCTGTCATTCCTGTGTCAAATGTCTCTTCTGGCACTACCTCTCCTTATTTCTGTAAGGGCTTGGTCCTTCTATCAGCTTTCCCCAGAAACTCTGTTTTGTCTTGCTTTTTATCAGTGAACTTTTACAGCTCTTTCCACTGCTGCCCTTCTGCTTTATCTTTACAAATTGAATCAGAAACACTC